GCACGATTCCCAGGTCGAGTGAAAGCTACTGAACTGGCTTCAGTAGCATTCCCTGGGTCGCGTCCTCGGCGTAGATCTCCAGAAGCGCCGACACCTCCTCATCATTTCTTGATGCTTGCCATAACTGCTTTCAAAAACAAACCCAACGCTCCGTTGGTGCGTTGGGTTTTTGTAGCGAGGAAAAACAATGGCGTCTCCACACAACATTTTCACAGTTGTACGGGCGTGGTTTGCAATTCGCCCAGCCAATCAGCACTGGGGCACTTTTGGGGCACTTTTCACCCACAGAAAAGTACGCTCTCCCAGCGGGCTCTAAAAATGGGGGTAAAAGTACCCGAGATTAAGTACGATTTTTGGTGTGAACGCGACATAAGGGGTACTCACGGAACTAAACGCGAAAAGTACGGTGAAAAGTACTCCGGTGTGAACGCGGCTAATGGAAAAAGAGAAATCTCCAACGAGGCATTCTGGGGCAGCATAGACAGGTCTTTTCTGTGTTAGAGTTTTACTCGCTACAGGGTGTACTTTGAGGGTTTTTGACTCTGCAGACCGTTTACATGCATAACAACCTTCATAACACACAAGGGGACAGGTAATAACCGGAAAAGCATGACATGGGACCTTTAAAAAGTAAAAGTAAAAGTACTCATGCAGATTGGTCCATTTCAGAATAATACATATTATATCATGTTTTGATTATAATTATTGATGCATGAAAGTGTTGTCAAAGCTGGTAAAGGTGCAGCTAGTTATAATTATTATTATTTGTATACTGCAGGGTAGATTGTGAATTTACTCCAGGTGTAACTAAAGTCTTATTTAAGTGTTGATTATATTTCCATCATTATTCCAAATCTTCAAGTAACTAAAGGTATTAAATACATTTAGTGGAGTTAAAGTACAATATTGACGTCTGAAATGTAGTAGTAGTTGAGTAGAAATACTCAAGTAAAGTACAAGCACCTTAACATTGTATTTAAGTACAGTACTTGAGTAAATGTACTTAGCTACTTTACACCACTGAGCAGTAGGTACATTACATGAAAGTACTTGAAAGATTGTAATCAGGGCTTCCTTTTTTTCACACCGGCAAAAAACACATAGCCATTAGTGTGCATTGTTCACTTGGTTTAGAGGAGTGTTTCACAGTGAGCATTTTTGTATTTATGTTCTTTTGACCTCATTTTAGAAAACCTGTTTAAAATGAAGTTTACATATCAGAGATAAAGCCATTTTAATGTTAATAACTTTGATTTATTTATAATTTTGTATGCAGATATTCATCACATTTTGGTATTTAAACATTCATGTACAAAAAAAGATGTACATTGCCGGACAATCATCTCCCCCAGAAGCCAGAAAGACAAATGTTGATGACATTCTAACGAATAAATTAGGATATCTGTAAAGACTCTTTTTTCTAAGAGTCAGAAATTGAAAAAGTAAACAGAAAAAAAAGAAAACCCCATCCTAACCTTTAAGAAGTAAATTCAAAAGAGAAAATTGGATGACTGCTATGTTTTGTAAATTATATCAGCCAAAATAACTTGTGAAAGACCTTCAAACATGCTTGTGTAATGGCATTATTATTTATCACATTTAATTTGTTCTCCTGACATATTGTTACGTAATTCATGAGACAGTGTGCGTCATAAAATATCAGGACTTATTTTATCATCTTGTCGTGTAAACACCCTGACTGACCCTTGGATCTTCAGTTTTTTAAATTTGATTTAATCTAAGTTTCTGTTTACTGGAATGCTTGTTGACGTTCCCGTCTGTTTCTATATCTTTATTGCAGGGTGAGGTGTGGCAGTGTTGTATTCAATACTGTAAATCATAAAGCAAAGTCTAATTGGTTTGGATCATGCTAGAAGGGCTTGCTGGCATGATTTCAATATCCAGACTAATTGACCTTATAAGTGAATACAAATATTCCTGTTGTTAATAAGCACACCAATTTGGTTGTAAACCTCTTTATAAAGGGTAAAATATTCAGTTTAGTTTAATTAATAATTTGCAGTATACACATTAAGGCCGTCGATAGATGTCTGGCTGTCGATGATCGTCCTGTTGCCCTACTCAGATTGGTGTGTCCCGCACCGTCGTGTCTTTTCGGCTGTGCCGACACCTTCCGCTGCCGATTGACCATGTTCAATCCACAGCGGAGGCTGTCGGCAAAATAAATCACTCTGATTGGCTGTTCAGCTTAGTGAATCAGTGCATGAGAAGCGAAACGGAAGTGAGGTACGCAAACAAACGATTAGGCACACACAGACGGCTATTATTTTTCATTTTCATCTCACCTGGACGCAAGAATTATACGATTATAAGTCGCTACGTGAAACAGTCTGTGATGGACGAGAGTGAAAATGGAACGCACACGCTATTCGTTGTTTGTATATATCACGCAGTCTGTCTTCCGGTTGCCTTTTGAATGACGAATACACACTACCGCCGCCTGCTGGTAAGGAGAGCTATTGCCACTCACGCATACGCAGTGCGTACGTGCTACTTGGCCGTCGGCTGAAGTCTTTGCGGTGTGTTCCAGTGTGACTTTTTGGCCAAGACGCAGGAGACGTGAGGCGACACAACAGTCGGGTCCGTCGGGACCAAGCCCCCAGGAAGTGCGCCGGACTCTGAGGAAAATATTTGTTGTGGCCAAACTGCGGTACTACACTTCCGTATCAGTCGCTGGGCCCGGAAATACTTTTTCCCATTGACTAACATTGGGAAAGAGACGTCTGTAAATCGTTGGATCATTTTTTTTAAACTAAATAAACTACCCAGTATGAACATTTGTATAGCCCTTATTAAAAACATTCGGTCCTCAAGTTGTAAAATGTGCTAATAACGTTATTCTGAGAGTTATTTTCCTCTGCATTATGAACGCGCATCTAACCCACTGGACCGCGCCGCCCGGCACGTTCATGTGACGTGTTCAGTAGTACATGAGTTTTACCTTTACCCATGGATGCACAATAAGAACGGATTATATGAATACTTTTGTGACGTTTCGCTCTCTCAAAAGTTGGGCCATTTTGTCCTCATGCGCCAATGAGCAACTCTCATAGGAATGAACGAGGCCCCGCCTCCCACGCTGTATCCAGTTCTTATTATACATCCATGGTCGGGACGTGTTCTTTGGTGTCAGTTTGGTGTGTCAGGGCCTTTAAACCCCTTAGGTTCTAAAAAATCCTATTAACAATCATTTTGAAACTTTTTTACCGGTTTAAACAAAGGGTTCTCCTTAGCAAAATAAGAAAGAGAATTAAAAAGGGTTATTTGGAAAAAAACAACAAAACATAAATGACAACAAAAAGCACCAAAAGATACGGTAGACAAAATCTACTTTAAAATCCATTTAAAAACAGCATGCGGAAGTACATCAGAGAACATTTTCCAATAATAATTAGACAAACTGTAAATTGAACGAATTAGCATCATAAGCCAGTTTTTAGCCCTGCTAGCATCATTAGTGCCTGCATTCGTGTCACCCTCGTGATGAATGCTAATAACTTTTAATGAACCCTTGGCATTTCCTCTTGCTGTCAGCAGTCAGGTCAAAGTTTAATTTGGTTAAATACTTTGGTTTATGACCAACTACCGAACAATATGACTTCCCATTTGCCTCAGCTGTACTTTGTCAACATGTTAAACCAGGATTGTGAACATTGTGAGCACATTAAGCATTGTGCTTATATTAGCATGCTGCCGTTAGCATTTAGCTCAAGGCACCGTTAAGCCAATAGATTCAAAGTTCTTAAAGAAATGTACATATGTGTAATTCTCTCTCTTCAGTACAGTTTGTATAAGGTTGAACATTTTTCAATGAGTAGCAAGTATCTTTAGGCTATATTTTTCATCTTTTGTTTATCACTTTTGAAACATCGAAATTGAGTTTAAAAAAATGCTAAGAACCTTGTTCAACTAAATAAATAGCAATATCAATTATTATCATTAAACAATTTTAGACTTTCCAAGTGTGCTTCCTAAAGGGTTGGATCAGATAATTAATATTGACAAATGTAAATACAAACGAAAATGTGATACCTAAATCCTATTAAAAAAGTTTTTATTCAAAATCAAACATTGAACATATTCTTCAGCATTTGCAGTTAATCAAGTCAAGTTACACTTACAAAAACATTAGTAGCACAAAGTACAGCTGTATTCCACAACATGTGGCATGCACTTCACATTAGTTAATGTGGTTTTCAAGGGAAAAAAGGTTGTAAAATGAACATATTGTACAGATGTAATGAATCAACGAAAACACATAATAGTTATAATCTAATTACACATTTGTTCAAAAGGGCTGTTAATAGATTGCTTTTTGTATTTGATAATGTAATCAATCACATGTAATACCAATATGAACCTTATTTAAAAACACCTGAAAATGAATAAAAACACTGAAACATTTTTCTTTTCTGTCACATTAGAAAGGTGTGTCGCTGCTTCTGTTGAGGCACATTTCTGATCATGAATGAATCCAGTGGGTAGAACAGAAGATAGTCTTTTGTGTAATGCCCTTTAATTAGACACAGGCTAAGAGGGGGAGTTTAATGGGAAGAGCTCATTAGGGAGGAACATGGGTCTGTACTTTCTCAAAAAGGCACCGGCCCACTGATTGGTTCTGATGAGACACGTTGTTGCCATGTCAACAGAATCAAACAAAGGAGGCCCTGGGTGCTGGTATGGACACCGTTGACCCAGTGTGGCACCATGCCATGCCATGCCAGGCCGGGCCAGCCAATGAGGGTCCCGTCTCTCAGTACTACCCAGGCTTATAGCCATAATATATCCATGTGTGAGAACAATAGGTGGATATTTTCATCTCATTCACTTCTGTACAACGTTTCTGAGTTTTGACAAACATAGAGGGATGTCAGGTTTAGGGCTGTGTTATTGGCTGTGCGCTCCTTGTTCGTGTTAATCATTTATGTTTACAACCAAAAGGCGATAATCACTAGGAGGAACGAGAGCCAAAGGTCTCATAGACGTCAGTGAAGGAGAAGCTCCTCTGGGAACGCCATCCGGTGAGTCTGTCTGCTGCTTTTTTAATTACTTAGATGTTAGGGTTATGTTTTTAGTTAGGATATTATGGTGACTGTTGTTCAAATAAATGTGTACTCATGAAAGGACATCTGTGTTGTCCGTAGATATCTTATCATCCTGTAACAGTGGGGCACATATTAGCCTTTTATCGTCTTTGAAAGATATATTCACATGGCACAATTCTCAGAAGAATGGACAAATGGTCAACGTGAATCCTCTTGGATTTCAACATTAAAATCAGTTTAATCTCTTTTATACTCATTTATATTTAATTGATCATAACATTCAAAACCTACCAAATGTTCAGATTAATCATTAAATACTATTTTCTGTCTTTACATGAAGTAGTTAAACTAGAGGCAAAATACTCATACTTTAGTGTGAGTATTTTGCCTAAGGTAGCCTTTATCAATCACACAAATACTCATTAACATAAACTAAGGCTTCCTTAAATCCTGAAATTAGATCATGCTTAAATATAGGTTAACTTTAAATGTTCCAACTGAATCACTAATGTAAAATCAGACCGAGGGGCATTCTGTAAAATGGCCTACTTGTCATTGGTTGCTCTAGCTTCAACTTAATGTAGTGACGGGCTTCTGCTTCCTTGTTGCTCATGCTTTATTAAAATGATTCATATTCTACTGTAATTCTTCTTGCTAACAGTCGAAAACATGATGTGCCCACATTTTGATCATTTCCCATAAAGCAGATCTTACCCTAACTAGATCAATACTAAAAGGGAAGAAAGTTGACGCTGCTCTTTCTGTAAAGAAACGTTCTAATGTTACGACACTTCGCTCAGTTATAATATTTCTAAATTGGGTGTGACCAGATACTAAATGCTGATCGATTTCAACACAAGGCAGGAACCTATTCTGCCTTTTGTCCAGCTGCAAAACATATATATCTGGTTTCATCATTTATGTTAAATAAATTAAAGAATGTTGGTGTTTTACCAAAAGAAAGACAGTGTTTAGTTATCAAAGGGCACATATTTTACCATCAATTGTCTAGATAAGTAAGATGGACGATTAGTTTGATTGTTTTTATTCAAATATTGTGTAACTGAATGAACAGTGATATAAATCAAAGAAAAGCAACAAAGCCCCTAATTTGAGAAGTTAATCTTTATTTTTCCGATGGCTCCACTTTGGTCCAGCCTGAAATGTCTTCTCTTATTTAACTACTCAATGTAACAACTATTTAATAGTAAATACTATTATGTTAGACAGTTACTCCACATATGTTTGAATATTATACTTTTGTTATTGTAATGTTTTCTATTATATATTTATGTTCATTGTTTCATACACCAAAGCAAATTCTTTGAATGTGAAACCTTTTTAATAATAATCCAGATTCTGCCTTGAAACTCGGCTCAGACATTATTGGTTGTCAGATAATAAAGCCTACATACATCGGTGTGCTCCTTACCTTTTTTCTAGCAACAAATTAGAAACCTGATTTGCGTGTCTTTTATTCAATGGTTGGGGTCGATTTTTCTTCTTTGTCAAATAACATACATAATAGACTAATGGCATTCCCATAATTCTTGGCAATAGTAGTGCTAATAAGCATCGTCCTATTAACACATTCAATTATAATGGTAAACATGCTTAACATTATGCAATCTGAATAATAACATGTCAGCATGCTAACAATATAGGATTTAGCTCTAAGCGCTAAATGTATAAGGACAACCCCACAGGACCACTAGCATAACAGCAGACTCTTCTTGTAACTTGATTATTAATCATTTATCAAACTAGTTGCCAACTCATTTTCTGTCGATTGACTAATTTCATTATAAAATAATTGTTAAAAAAAAAGCGCCCTACTTATTTGGTTGTTCTTTCTTTTCATTTGCAGACATGGAGGGCATTACAGGAAGTGTATTACTGATGTGCTTCATCGGCTTAATAGATGGTGAGTATTCAATGAATTTTGTCATTACGTTATATAAATCACTACTTAACATTCTGCTTATACTGTCTCCTCTCCAGCAAATACCAGTCCTTCAATTGATCCTGGAGTCTTTTCAATATGTGAAGACATCCCCATAGGTATGTGTGTGTGTGTGTGTGTGTGTGTGTGTGTGTGTGTGTGTGTGTGTGTGTGTGTGTGTGTGTGTGTGTGTGTGTGTGTGTGTGTGGCATGTGGGTGTGAAATATATATATTTTTTAAATTACTTAGCCTGAACACATTCATCTATGTTCCACTGATGTTTTCTTTTCATAGGTAAACCCGCGTTCACTATATTAGCCACAGACTTGGAAAGTGACCCACTGACTTATGAAATCAATGGGCCCAATGCTGCCTACTTCACAGTTGACAGCACCACTGGGGTTGTATCCGTACACAGGAACCTAGATAGAGAGGTGTGGTGGAATAAGAGACACTTTAATGTTTAGCATTTTGATATGGTATATATTTGTATTCATCTGTGTTTAATTGTTTTTATTCAAGGCTTCTAGTTTTATGACGCTTGGAGTTTATGTCTATGATGGTCAAACTGGAGTAAGTGACATTTCATTAAGTTTTAATTAACCATTTCATTTAAATGTGTTCATCATACTTTAAGAGTACACCATGCAATGTATTTCAGAGACAGAGAAATGTAACTCTAATAATAGAGGAGGCCAACGACAACTCACCAATATTCAAGGAGCCTTCATATGACATTGATGTCCCAGAAGTAAGTTAAGCATATATTTATATATTACAAATTATCTTCTTATTTTTTAAATTACAAAAATGTCCTACATGAGAGACATTAGTTAGTTTAATTTGTCTTTTTTGCCTGTCTTTTTATTCCTGTCCAATTCATCAGAATACCGCCGTAGGTACATCTTTGTTCAAGGCGGAGGCCACTGATGCAGACACCTCAAGCGCTGGGGTTATTACTTACAGCATTGATGAAGTAAGCTTCTTTTGTAAAAGATGAATAGCATACTGTGATGTTCCTTTACTTTATCAAAACTTAATTTACACTGTTTTTTCTAGGTTACTCCAAGTGCTGGATTAAGTCTTTTCAGCATTGTAGCCACAACTGGCGAAGTCAGATTAAAGGGAAATCTGAATTACACTGAACTGAGTACTTTCTATCGGTTGAAGATTAACGCAACTGTAAGTACCACCCAATGAATAGTGTGTCATTTTAACGAATGTATTTTATTTGCTTTCTTGCGATGAGTGGGATGCCAATATTCTTCACTAGACTTGAAATGTCATTAGTTATTTCCCAAAATATAATCTATATTAATACAGTAGAGAAAATGGTTCTTGAACACCCAATTTCATATTTCATTCATTCTTAAGTTACTGGTTATACCACTTTACTATTATATAATTTGTATTGTGCTATAACAAAAAGGAAAAAAGTTGGAATTTCTTTTTTTAATTTACTCCTGTGTGCTCTGTAACAGGATGGTGGAGGTGCCTGTTATTATAAGCCGTTTAAAAACTACTACTCAAGCGTTACTTTTTCCTTCGTCACGGTTGTGGACGTCCCAGACCTGGACCCACAGTTCATTGGCCTGCCCTACGTGGGGAAAGTGGAAGAAAACGCTCCTTTGGTGAGTGCTGATGCATTTCAGTAAAATAAGATGAATTTGCTCAATGTCATTTGAGTGCATACAGTCATTCAGTTATTACACATTTTCCAATTATTTGTCTGACTTAAAGGTAGGGTAGGTAAGTTTGAGAAACCGGCTCAAAGCACTTAAGATATTCATTGCTATCGGGATGTTAAGAGCATTCCATGGAACATAACAAAAAGTGTATCTCGAGCCGGTTTCTCAAACTTACCCACCCTACCTTTAAGCTTCTTATTCTGTTGTAAATTAGGATGTTTTCCTTGTCTCTGTGCAGGCTCTACTGTATATATATATATATAATATATATAATGTATATATGTTTTAATGGCCCCAAATGTACTGCACATTGTGATTTGCTGTAAACATCTAAAGCATACTTTGAGTTTTGTGTAAATGTTTTCTTTTTTTTTCTTTGCCAGGACACTTCTGTGTTTAGAGTAACGGCCATGGACCAGGACACAGGAGTATATGATGTTTTGCTCTTCAGCATTGAAGGTGAGCCTTATCAACTTGGTTAGAATGTGTTTGTTTTCACTAAGTGAATGAGAAAGACATTTTTTTTTCTACATTATTTGACAGATTCCACAGCAGCAATGGGCCTGTTCAAAATCTCACAAGATGATGGCATGATATCTGTGTCGTCGGGTATTGACAGAGAAGAGATTGGTGACACTGTTACCCTGACTGTAAAGGTAAACATGTTTAATGTCATACATCAATTTCCTCCTCTGTATGGACGTTAACTTTGTCTATGTCTTGTATATGTTTATTTCCGTCCCTGTAGTTTGAGTAATTACTCTAAATAGCATGTAAACACTTCAACAGTTTGCAGAGAGTGAGTTGAAAATATTCATACTGCTCTTGGGTGCATACGTAATATGAAGCTATGCAAGACACCTGTACCCACTGTACTCGTTCAACCCTCCACGTTAAACTATAAACATTTGTATTTGTGAAAGGATAAAACAAACAAGAGGTAACATGCTAACAAGGTATTGTTCATATTTTGTTAGATAACAGATTATGGGCTACGATGAGGTCATTCCTGGACTTTAATGGGCTGCTCCCATTTGTAAAAAAAAAATCAAAAAAAAAAATCAGGTGTGACTAAAATAGAGAATATATTCAAAACAGAGGTAGTTCTAGTATTTCCGAAGGGTTTAAGGGATAGAGACCTAATGCTACTTTGGATTAGCCAGCTCCTTAACTGGCGATGACTAGCTAATGTCTAATGTTAGCAGAAGGCTAAACTATTAGCAACATTTTCTCTCAATCTCTGAAGTGATTCCCAGTGGCAGATATTTTCAGACTCACTTTTTGATAGGTTTGTCTTCCTTTATTGGGTTACATTTCAATGTAGCTAGTTTTTATTACAATGTTGGAAAAGCAACTTTTCCCACAGGCCTCTATCGTTCTCAAAGGGACGTGCATACAGTTCTTCATTAGTAGAACCGCCAATATAAACACCCTCTTTCTGAAATGACGTGATTATCAAAATAAATACTGCCTCCCTACATTGTTATATTGTATTTTGTAATGTTTTAGGCTACTGAGTCTAAAGAAAACATCCACGGAGTCCGAGCCAGCACCACAACAGATGTACAGATCAACATAATCGACAAAAATGATAACGCGCCACAGTTTTACAAGTGTGGAGACACAGCAGACGAGGTCTCTTGCGTCATTGCGAGTGACTTTACAGGAGATGTCGTTGAACACTCGTTGGGCGCTATCTTCATCAACATGACAGTAAAAGATCTGGATAAGGTGAGCAGAAGAGCTACCAAAAACAGGGGACTTTCTTTAACCAAAAAATGAAGTTTTCCTTTTCAATAAAGGAAAAAATGATCATGTATAAATCATCTTTTTGGCTTTTTTTGCAGTTTAAAAAAATAAAACTAACGCTGGAGGGAGTGGACAGTGACGTGTTTTCAGTGGAGCCTCAGTCTACTGCATCGGACAGCATCGTTCAGCTTCTGGTCAAGCAGCCCCAAAAACTGGATTATGAAGAAATAAAGACAATTGTTCTAAGTGTAAGGACAATTGAAAACAGCATGAGTCTCTAATAATAATATATAATAATATATATCTGTCATCTTTTGGTTCATATCGTATTCGTGATTATTGAAGCAGTTAATCAGTCTAAGCTGTTTCCCATGCTTGTGTTGTGGTGCAGGTCATTGCCATTGATGAAGAAGACATCTCCTTCCATTCCACGGCTACAGTTACTATTAACATCAAGGACGCCAATGACAACAGCCCCGTGTTCCCAAAGGACACGTACAAGTTGGAGGTGGCTGAGCACTCTCCTGCTGGGACAGTGTTGGACACCATTACTGTAAGCCCTTTACTATTTGAATTCTTACTCAGACTGTCTTGCATGTGGAAAACACTTGGATATGACACATTGTTTGGTTTTTTCTACCCTAGGCAGAGGATCCTGACACAATGGATCAAGGCAACATCACCTACACACTTCTTCCAGAAAGCATGTATGCCAAAACACATTTATTTGACACTATGCAGCTTTTGCTGTCATGTTAACTGAGAAAACACCACTGCACACACTGTGTTTCAGACTGCTGTATTTTGACGTGGATCCACATACGGGCGCAGTTTACGTGAAAAACGCGACTCTGTTGGATCGCGAGGTCAGATCTCTGTATTCAGCCACTCTGCAGGCCAGAGACACAGACGACAAGCCCGGCAGCACAGTGCTGGAAATCACTCTGACTGACATCAACGACCACCCCCCAGTCATGAACAGAGACTCCTACCAGGAGTTTGTTAAAGAGGGGCAAACGTTTGAACTTAAGATACAGGTAACAGTGGGGGATATATACGGGAGTAGTAAATACTATCCATGCTATGATTAACCGGAATTCTGATTTATTTATGAATAGTTTTAGAGCTAAATCCAACAGATTTTGTGTTGATGGGAAAATTGAAAATACTTTATTGTGAATGTTCAATTCAGGAGGGTAAATAATAACAGTTGCAATAAGCAATTTAAAAGCCAAAAGTGAGGACACAGTTTCATATTTTAGGGTTGATAGATGTGGAACATGTTTAGTACAGTTCGAGCTAACTATTTTTTTGTTAAAAAACCAAATAAAGATCTTAAAAAAAAACATTCAGTCAACGTAGAACTTTAAATTACATGTTGCGAGTACAACGAGGGACAGTTTACAAAAATAAAAATAAAAACTAAATCAGTGAAACCAAACCAGAGACACGGTGGCCGTTTCTCAATCGCGAGGATATTGGCTTCCAAGCCAATATTTCAAGGATGCTACGTCATCGAGTGCCGCCGAAGGACTGTTCCAACCTCCAGCATACTTGGAATTCCACCGAGGCCGCGTCCTTGGTTTGGGGGACATTTCTAGGCTGCACAGGGGTAGACTTCGCGTCCTTAAAATCCCCACAATGCTTTGCGCATGGACCAATTTCCCCAAATCTGTGGCGGAAGATGTAAGGCGGGGCCTCTCATATGACGCACACCTGCACACTTGCTAGCCTGTTCCACTCTTCGTTTTCCGAATGCCAGGAAGTATTCCTGCCTTGCTTCTGAAGCAAGATGCTCGGCTCGGCTGTGCTACCAAGCCAGCATCCTCGCGATTGAGAAACGGCCATTGTCTTCTTAATTCCAAGCGTTCTTCATGGGGTCTACATTACCCACAATGCAACTCACCCGCCACCAGTGTGGTTATAGATTATGTTATGTGTTATGTTCTTAGTGGCTAATCTAGCCTTCAGCCTTTATCTTTGAGAGAGTGTTAAGGGGTGGGCTACAGAGTTCTGAAAAGATCCCCTCTTTTATAACTTCACACCCCCAGATGTGTACTATTTATAAACTTGTAGTCTTCCGTCCCAACAGATGCTAACTCACTTGACATTTCTGAGGATATTTACCAAGTTTTGTGTAGCTTCCGCTGGAGCCGCACACAAGCTTTTTTCACATATGGAATTAGGGGTGGGGGAAATAATCGATACAGCATAGTACCTTACGATACCTTGCGTGGCGATATTGTATCGATACACGGATGCCAAGAATCAACTTTTTTTATTTATTTATTTTTATTTTTATATATATAAACTGTAGCATATCGCTCCGAAAGATGGTCGTATATAAAACAGGAAGTTACGTTAACACATTTATACAATTGCAATGAAAGTAACAAAAACAATGCCATCTCCTTTTCAGGTTCAAATAACACAAATTGGGTTATTTACATAAACTATTCATATTGCAAATACATGTTTTAACCAGGAAGGGAAGACGGACATGGATATGACCCATGTGATTTGCGATATCGCAATATATAGCATATCGTAGAATCGCAATACTATCGTTTCGTGGCTTAAGTATCGCGATAGTATCGTATCGTGGGGAGCCTGGTGATTCCCACCCCTATATGGAATAGTTCTGCTTAACACCTGTAACCAGACTTGCTGTAGTTGTGCAAAATAAGTGGGAAACTATTTTGTATTTTAAACGGTTACATTCTGCAAACCTCATAGTGATAATTTGGGGAGTTTCCTATTGAAAACGCACAACACAAGGTCCATAAAAGAAGATATTTTGCCATTCTTGAGTCGTGTGGAAGAATCGATCCGCCTCATAGAGCTTCAACCCTTTATAACACATTGAAAGAAAAAAAAACTAGCCAGGCCCTATGACCCTACATTAGGACCCGGCCTCACTAATTTCTGCCTGAGATGTGCAACAGTCACATATAGACATCCTCTTGTCTTGTTTGAATGTTTATATTGTTATGGCAACGTAGTGTACGTAAGTAAAGCATTTCATATAATGTTTCTCATTTGGACAGGCAACTGATGCAGATGAATCTGATACACAAAACAGCCAATTAGTGTTTGGAATCAAACCCAGCAGGTACAGTGATAACTTCACCATCAATCCTGAAACCGGTGTGCTGACTAACAGGGTTAAGCTCGACCGAGAGGCCCTGGATCCGGACCTGGACGGGAGGATCGAGCTCAACGTAACCGCAACTGACAAGGGTACCCCCCCATTGTCCGCCGTGGTTCCAGTCATCATCAATGTGGAGGCAAGTCTTTCGCAGCAAAGTATTGGTGCTGTGTTGTTTCTGATGCTGCCACCCCTGGTGAGGAAAATAACTGTCTGTTTTCTTCTGATCAACCCAGGATGTCAATGACAACGGACCAAAGTTTAAAGCCCTCTCTTACAAATTCTCAGTCAAAGAAGGAGACAAAGGTCAGTATTAACTTTGCTAAGCACAAGTGTTTATAAATGTTTGGCTGGATTTTATGTACATTTTCCTATCCAATCAGGTGCCTTTGTGGGCTCTGTTCAGGCTGAGGACTTGGATCAAACCACAGAGTTCAACCGCATCTCTTACAGCATCATTAATGGAGGTTTCGGCAGCTTCATCATTCGCACCTTTGCAGATGAGCGGGGATACAGGGGAAACATCACCGTAGACTTCGACCTTGAGCTTGACTATGAGAGCACTCGCAAGCAGTACAATCTGCAGGTAGAGGCAGCAGATCTAGAACAGTTGAAAGCCACAATGATGGTGGAGGTGGATGTGTTGGACGTGAACGATGAGAGGCCCGAGTTCAAGCCGTCAGAACCTGTGAAGGTGAAGGAGAACACCACCATCAGCGGGGCCGTCGGGAGCTTTACAGCGCAGGACAAAGATGGGAACCACTCACTGGTCTACGAGCTGGAATCCATCAAATGCAGATGCAACGGCTCTATGACTGACTGCAGCTGGTTTATCCTCGATCCAACAGGCGAAGTCAGAGTCAACCAGGAACACACAATGGATTATGAACAGTGTGACCTGGTGGTGATTGAAGCTCAGGTGGTGGACGTGTACACAGAGAAAGGAGAGAACAACAGTGTCACAACAGGTCAGTTTGTTGTACAGATCACAAAAGCATAAAAGCATCACGTTAAAGCATGAAATACAATTAACTTCATTTTCATTCAATTAAACAGGAGAAATGGTTATCGAAATTGAAGACATCAACGACAATGCTCCAGAATTCATTTTGTCAAAATCGGTTTTTGGTGAGTATATATTTTTGATGTATGACTGTAAGTAAATGTTATCTAGAGTAGATTTGTCTTGGATTGTGCCCCCTTTAACTGAACCTCGTGATGTCCTAAAGTCACTGAACCAACTCATTTAAACAAATAAACGTTAGTTTTTCTTTTAAACAAATACAATATTCAGCTGAATTGTGTGTTAGCATATAATTGTGCATCTCTGATTTTCCTTCTCTGGATTTTAGTTGTGGTGTCAGAAAGTGCAAGTAAAGGGACATCTGTAGCGGGAGTCAGTGTGAGTATGAATGAAAAACTGAAAAATGTACACGATTTCAGCTTGTAAAGGAGATATGTGACATGATCTCTGAACATTCCTGCTTTCATCTCCAGGCTACCGATCGGGACTCTCTAATAAATAGGCAGGTTGAATTTGAAGTTACAGGAGTCCAATTTGAAGACAACAACAATAAGACAACTAATATGAGGATGCTGTACGAGGCCGTCACTACACAGCAAAATGACATTTACGTTGGGATTATTCAGTAAGTACAAAGTTATTTTTCAACGTAATACTGCCTTATTTTATTCTACTGATTTCTCAGCAGCTTTGATATTTGACTGCTGGCTCTCTTGGAACTGACCATTAATTTTAACATTGGAAAATAAATTCAAAGATGCAAAACAAATAAGACACTTAAAAAACTAAGACCAAACTCCAAACAAAGACACTCATATTATTATAAAGACACTCAAAACAAACACAAAGACACTCGAAATATTACAAATACACTCAAAACAAACACAAAGACACTCAAAACAACTACAAAGATGCAGAAAACAACCTCAATGAGACAACAAACAACTACAAAACACAAAGCAAATTTGACACAGAGTCAAAACAGAAAATTATTTAAAAAGTACATTTTGTAGTCCATTTCCTGTTGTTTGTCTTTTACCCGGCTGACATTTCATTAATCCACTGTTTTAATTTCCCCTATATTACCCTATGTAAGGTGTCCTTGGGTGCTATGAAAGGCGCCCCCAAAATAAAATGTATTATTATTATTATTAATAGAATAGTCAACAAAACAACTACAACTGGGACAAAACTGCCAAAAATCACAATAAAGACAACTATAAAGAGACACAAATTACAAGTAAAAACACTATAAGAGATTAAAATACCCCTGGTCTCCGTCATGGTCCTGTGTAAGTATGGTAGTCCTTTATTGTCTGTGCCAAGGGGCCGTTTGTATTAATCTGTCCATGGCTGTACTCTTGATTTCCTTCTCTTTCCACAGAACCACCGAGGGGCTTGATACATCACTGAAGGGGAGGTATTTGGTCACAGTAAGAGCAACTGACAGCGGCAAACTGTCCACCAGCACCGTACTGGAGGTGAGTGACTCAAATCATGCAGCTGGATTCTCATAAATAAATACACCAGACAGATAGTCATCCTGTGTTTCCTGTTCTCTTTATTTTGCAGATCTTCGCAATTGATGAATCCTATCAAGTGAATCTTAAATTTACACAATCCCAAGCCATGGTTGAAGAAAACCTCAATGAAATCATCAGGTACATTTCTCCATTGTAGCCTTTCTTTTAGTTAAATTAGAATTTGATAAAAGTACATTCAAGAATATATTTATTATTTCAATTCTTTTTTTGATCTGGTCCTTTTTTCCTTTTCTGTTTTGTACGTTTCCAGGGCGCTTATTTCTGCCACCAAGGCTGCGGTTGAAATCGCTGGAATCTGGCCTGAATCTCCGGAGTCCTCCAGGCAAGCTGCCTTTTCTCACCACCTCTAACATGTAGATGAATCTAAACAAATGAGTGTGAAAACGGATACAATAAATGATGGCTGGTTTAGACAGGAAGTCTACTTACTGTTGTCCACTAGATGGTGCAAGTGTCCCTGTATATTGTTCAGGATACATTATTTACTGGTAATTGTAGATGACAAATGCAGCCAAAGCTAATTTAGATTTTAAATCTAAAACAGTTGTATTACTTCATTTAAGTTGATTGTTTTAAGGGTGTAAGTGAGTTGTATTTTCCTCGCAGGGCTTCAGGTAACACGATCGTAGTGGCATATTTTGTCTACTCCAACGGGACTGCTCTTACCCCTACTGAAGTGGAGACAATGATCTCGGATCCTGACCACGCTTATATACTCATAGACCTTGGCCTGGCGGACATTGTGAGTATAAGTATTAGATTGTTTATTTTAATTTTTTATGAAAGGGTCTCTTTCCTGTCATTTAAGCTTTCTTCAACTTAATTGAATCAGCCTTGTGGATTTTTGGAGTAGGTGTACATCATTTCTTCTCCTAAAAACAATTGTGGGACTACTTTACGGTAACAGATGATCTCTTGTACGAGACAATGAGTCCCAGATATCAAATCAGTACTACTACTTTAACTGCAGCACATTCCCCCCTTGTTGTACTGATTACATTTGATTTACAACACTTCCCTTTGTCAAAATGACCTATCCAAGTGACTTGACATTTCTGTTTGCTACAGGACAGTTTTGAGGTAATCCTTTAAATCTGTAAAAGAATATTAAGCAGTACTACGACATATTGAGCCTCATTGGCTAAAATGAATGATAACATTTGATAATTTCTTTAAATTACCCGTGTTAACATACATAAATTGTGTCTGAGCACGCTAAAATAGTTTTATTATCACCGTGCTGTTTTATCACTAAACTTGATTTTATGTCTAAGATAACCAACCATATTAACGGGAGCAAAGGTGATAGATTTTTGGTTTGAACCGCAAACTAGATCAGTGAAAAGTAAATGATCCCTCATAGGTCCACAGGCAATAATAAATATTTCTTACTCATGTTCCAGGGGAAGGCTCCAGTGATCGAAGCAGAAACCGACCCTCTGAGGTACATCCTGCTGGGGATAGTGGCAGGCCTCGTCGTGGTGCTGACTGTCCTCACCACTTCCCTGATGTGCACTCGCAGAAAGTAAGATAATAAGTCAAATCATTTGGAATAAAGTTAGGGACATATGAAGCAAGTAATCAACCACAGTTTATCTCAGCAAAAGTTTCCGTTGATCTAAAAACATACATGATTGTGACTGTGTCTGTCTACTTACCGCCTCACTTCACAAACAGCTACAGGAGGAAGCTGAAGGCAGCTAAAGCCATGAACTCTGCCTCCATGGTGACCTCCAACAACCAGAAAAGTGGCCCTGTGGTGCCCGGGACCAACAAGTACACTATGGAGGGGTGAGCAGGAGACAGAGGCATTCATGAGATACATAAATAAATAACTGACATGAAATATAACACATTTGTTCTCCCATGTGTGTCATTATTCGCTGACAGGGCTAATCCCGTCCTCAACCTCAACATCGACACCACCATGGTGCTGGACATGGACGAGGACAGCTCAGATGTGGACAAAGTCAGGTAAAGGAAACCTCTCTGGGACAGTCTCCCCCTTTATGTTGGGACTGGAGCAGTGATTTTCTCCGTCACAAGGTGGAGGCTCACAGTGACACACACGCTTGCTCTGTGGCAGTGCTGGGTGAAAACTGGGAAGGTTTCCAGGTGAACATTTTGCCACAGCGTGCTCATAACAGCATGTTGTGATGGAGAACTGGCTTTTGGCTTTCCAACATTGGCATGTGACCTTTTACAAAAAAACGTAACACAGATTTGACAGAAAAAACCGTAACACAGATTTGACAGAAAAAAACACTATATTTCTGAAATTATTATTGGTGGATATAATAATTACTGCATCCCTCTGTTTTCCTCTACAGCCTCAACTCTTTGGACGACAGCTATTCCATGAACGAAATATCTAACATGGTGCGTTTACATTTTCAACTCCATTTTAATTTGTACTTTTTTTTAAATATGGTCTAATTTCCAAACTTGTCTGCTCCTCCATAGAAGAGCATCCAGGAGGAGGAAGAGGAGGAGGGGGATGATGGCGGGCCACCGAAGTACATCGAGCCTCTGGGTGCTGCGCTGGCCCAGCGGGGCCAGAAGAAAGCCTCCGACAAACCTCACGTGGGTTTCATTAACCCCGCGTTCAGCACGACGGACCTGTGAGGGAAACAATGACCAGAGGCCTCAGATGAACATTGTGTTGCTTCTGTGTAATCAGGCTGACCAAATGTCCAGTCAAACACTCTGATGGTGTTGGATGAAGTCTTTATAACTTCAAGTAGCCTTCTGTTGTGACCAGTAGTAATTTATTATTGATGTTAGATTCATGGCACCTAAAGTGATGAATATGCTTTGTTTAAACATTCGGTTCAAAGGGATACAAAGGGAGACTTTCTCTGGGATTACAAATCATACAGTAATATCACATAGACTATTGATCTCATTGATTTTTGTTTGGTTATTGCATTGACTGTTTTTTGCCTGACCAGTAAAGAGAACATTTTGACATATTTGGAAATATTCCTATTGAGTTAGATCCTAAAATGAATGCCACTACAGCCAGTATTAATGTTTAACAACAGCCTTAAATCACCTGAAAAGCTCAGCTAGCCATTCCCCCATTCCCAGTCTCTGCTAAAGTAAATTGTGGCTTAACATTTATCACAAAGCCATGAGAGGTAATAACCTTACCTCGCAAATAAGTGTATTTCCCTACTAACTCCTATTAAATGTTCTCATTCTTGACAATGAAAAATGGACAGAAGCAAAGGGAAAGCAAACAAAACAATTGCTTGTTGCACATGTGAATCACTTTATTTGTGTTAATATATTAAGCGAAAGTTTAAAAACCGTTAGGATTGCTTTGAAAATAACTGTATTATACGTTATGTCAACATACACCATGTTCATTTTGTTGCAGCTGATGCTATAAATAAAATCAATGTATGATTATAAATGAAATATGACTGCACGTCAGCCATAGGTCAGACCTAAGGCCTGTTCGATGTCTCAGTGTTTGCTTTGAGTGTAAGAAGCGTGCTGCTGGAATAAAACCTCATGCAGTGTGACTTTCTACAAGCAGCGGATTGAAAATATATTTCTGTTTACTGACATCTAAATGAATGTATCACGTGCAGTGCAAAGTGCAGTCTGAATAAAATCAGTTTCTCCAAATGTGGACTTTTATGAATGTAACATATGAACATCAACATCACTGACACTGTAACAACCTCTGGGATTAAAACACATTTCAAATAGGTTTCATCACATCATTTACAACTGAATCACTAAACATGGTGTTCAAATACATTAAGTAGCAATGTTTAGAAATACCCTCATATCAGGTGTCGATTGTGCTCGGCATTTGTACATTTTTATAGTTTTCACAAAACAAACAAGTCAAAGCAGCAAGCCAAATCTAAAAGCAGATTAAAGACGGGCAAAAGCCTCTCTCCCACACATCGAGGCAATAATGAGATTGTTTTTCAACTTCCATACATTCGAAAAAAAGATGGCTGCAAAATGGCCCTCAGGCTGTGGCTACTGACCACAAATAACAATGAGAAACTGTCAGTGTCTGTCTTCTGTCCTGTATCTCCATCAGAGCTGTGTTAGGCTTGTAAGCAGAGAGGCATTGCCATGGCTTCATATTGTCTGAGGGGCACAACAAAAAAAAGCAAATGGCTCAGTGGACAATTGAATGATCTGGGGGAAAAACAATAAAGGAGGAAAATAGGTCATCCTCATTTCTCCCAACATGGAAACTCCGAACAAAAAAAGGAACTGGCGGATCCTCAGAGCCCCGTGGTAGAAGTCTTAAATGCTTTTGTGCTTCTTTGTCTCGTGCAGGAGTTGATTTGCTTGTCACACTCTCAAGACAATGTCACGTTGATGGAAATCAGTGTATCACAGACGCATACTGTGCATCGTGCTTTATTTTCAGCACAGGTTGTTGTCTCCCTCCGAACAGCTGTTGTTTTCTCCTCAGGGTCCCGTGTCACTCAGCAGTGTGAGCTCTGGAGCAGCAGTGTGGCTGCTGCATGTTCTCCATCAGCAGGCGGAAGGGATTTCTTCTGCGTCGGCTCACCCCTCCACCCTGCTCTCCCCTCTTCCCCGCCCGACCCTTACCCGAACCAGAACCTGACCCCGAACCCGAGCCAGACCCAGAACCCCCCCGGATGGACTCTGGAGAGAGGGGCACTGCTGAGGGGTTGAGCGGAGGAGGGGGAGGCATGGAGGGCTTCTGCTTCTTCACCTGTTTCTCCAGGTGTTTCTGGATGGCTGATCCCAGCACAGCCACCTCCACCACGGCCCCGTACACCTCCCACGTCATCCCTTTCTCATCCCAGCTCACCTCCTGCACCGGCTCCTCACTTTGCTCTTCACCATTCTCCTCCTCCTGTGTGTCCTCTTCAGCTGCCTCCACCTGTTTCTCTGCGCTTACTTTATCCTCCTCTTTGACCTCCACCACCACCTCCTCTTTGACCTCCACCACCACCTCCACTTTGACCTCCACCTCCACTTTGTCCTCCTCCACCACCTCCACTTTGACCTCCACCTCCACTTTGTCCTCCTCCACCACCTCCACTTTGACCTCCACCTCCACTTTGTCCACAATCACCACCACCTCCTCTTTGACCTCCACCACCACCTCCACTTTGTCCACCACCTCCTCTTTGACCTCCACCACCACCTCCACTTTGTCCACCACCTCCTCTTTGACCTCCTCCACCACCTCCTTTTTGTCCGCCACCACCACTTTGACCTCCTCCACCACCTCCACTTTGTCCTCCACCACCACCTCCACTTTGACCTCCTCCTCTTTGACCTCCACCACCACCTCCACTTTGTCCTCCACCTCCACTTTGACCTCCACCACCACCTCCACTTTGTCCTCCACCACCACCTCCACTTTGACCTCCTCCACCACCTCCTCTTTGACCTCAACTATCTTCTCAACGCTTGCATCCTTCCTGATCTCAGGAAAGCTCATGGTGGTCGGTGTTCTGGGGGTCATAGGTGCTGTGGCCACGGAGCGATACTCCACCGGCTGACGGAGCTCCGCCTCTTCAGTCCCGGTGCCTACACCTTCACTCTTTCCCAAAGAGCTAGGGAAGAAGAAGGCCTGGTCCCCTTCAGGAGGGGTCATGGGGCTGGTGGCCACAGACTGGCACTGCACCACCTCCAGGCTGACCTGGGTGCGGATGTTGTGGCAGCCGAAGGGAGCAGGAGATTCAGGGACAGGAGGCTTTGTCTCTCCTCTCAACTCTCCACATGCACCTTTGTTTTCCTCCACCTCTGAATGTTCAGCTGTCACGTCTGTTTTTGGAACTTCGCATGCAGGAACGCAGGTTTCTTCCATTTGCTTTGGTTGACCCTTTAAATCACCGTTGTTTTCTCGCTCTTCCTCAAATTCGTCTATCTTGACCATCTCTGTCTCGATGGGATAACAAGATGACTCGGCCTTCTCCTCCTCTTCCCCCTCATTGCTGCCATAGTGGGTCACCAGGATTGTAATGTCTTGATCCATACTTCCCATCCTCTGCTGTTTACACTGCTGTTTACTATCCTCCATAGTTACTTGTGAAACCGATAACCTGGCGCTCTCTCTCTGCTCCTGTGATGTGGTTAATTTGAGAGCTCCAGTTATCTCTGACTCGGCCTCTTCCAGACTTTGTGTCGTGGGGAAACACTCTTGGCCACTCTCCCTTTGCACCTTTTTCTCGTTCTGATCTTTCTGCACCGTCTCCCTCCCGATCAGCTCTGGAAAAGCCGTGGTGGAGGGCGTCTTTGGGGTCATGGGGGATGTGGCCACAGAGCACAACTCCACCAGCTGCCCCACCTGAAGCTCAGCGCCCACAGCTCCCAGCTTCCCAAAGGAGCTGGGGAAGAAGAAGGACTGGCCGTCCTCAGGGGGGGTCATGGGGCTGGTGGCTGCGGAGCGGCACTGGACCACCTCCAGGCTGACCTGTGTGCGCATGTGCTGCTGGCCGGGGGGAGCGGGGGACCGAGGGTCTGAAGGGCCCGGAGTCACTGGCACAGGCACCGATATATTCTCAATATCAGCCACCTTTTCTCTGTCAGGACCCACGTTTTGATCCTTAGATGTCTCCTCCTGAATTCCCCCATCTCCAGCACTTTGGAACTTCTGAGAGATTGTCGTGTCGTTATGTTCAGTTGTTGTGTTATCATCTTCAGGCTGTTGTGTCAGAGGGATGGCGTTCGTCTGCATCGAGTCTTTGACAACACCTCCATCTGAAAGCTCTTGATCTTTGGGTTTGGCATTCGTGTCTCTCTCTTCAACGTTTCTTTCATTCATGGGAAGTTTTGGCTGATGAGTTGTTGACTCTTCACTCGTGTTTGTCTGAGGTCCCTCAGGCTCAGTGCCGCCATCTGAGCCGCCTGGACGCTCTCCATCCTCCGTCTTCTCGCACGGCTTCTGGTCCTCTCTGAGACCTCTCATCTCCTCCTTCAGACTTCCCATTTGTCTCTGCATTAAAGTGGTGGAAGCACCTGCAGAGCACAACACAGCACACACAGTAAGAACACAAATGTAACTATAACAACAAGTGGAGGACACAATGAAGGATTTGTTTTTTCTTAAGAAGAATATTTCGTCATGCGATATCTATGTCAAGTATGAAAACAAAAAAAAGAACATGATTGCTAGCGTTCGATGAAATCATTCACATGGTTTATTTGTATTATAAGACACTGTAGTGGAATATTTACTATTAATAAACAGCATTTAATATGTTAGATATTCTTTTGAACATTTTACAGTTGGATGATATATCAGACTGTGTCTTTCTACCTTTAAAACGTCACAAGATAGCTCATATTTAAGTTGATTTTTAACCTGAAATATAATCAAATCAACAAAGACATGCACAGGAATCCAGAGCATTTGTTATTTTTGTAAACTATGAAGACTAACAGGATTAAAACAAATTGCAGGACATCACGAGTGACACACATACCTCAGCAGTCCAAGTCAGACTGAAGTCTCTCCATCACTCTCCCTCACATCTGGGTAAAATCACAAAATCTCAGCGCCGATCGAGCCGCACATCTGTCTGTGTTTCTCCCCTGTTGATTGATAGTGTTTGCAGTGGCTCCAGGTTTGTCTCCAGAAGAATCTATCTTAGGCAATCCTCGCTCTTTAAGCTCGGGCTGCCTCTATTGAAAAGCTTCACATTTTCCAGTTTCCCTGGAAACCACGGTCGGGTTCTGGCAGTGAGTGGTAATGTAATGACACAATCTCCATTCAGCTCTCTAATCATCACTAAATCATAGTAATTAACTCAAGGTTCTCATAGCAACACAATGGCAAACTGTGTGCAGGGATAAACCTGTGAGTTAGTGAACTTAAAAGAAGAAGTAGCAACATTTGGATTAATAGCTCTGCTGTTACTACAGAGGAGGGAGGGAGGGCGAAGTAGGCGCAAGAGGGATTTATCCTCTTATAATGAATTGCTACTTTTATGAAAGATAGATCTGTGTGTCTGTAAAAGACACATTTTTTTGTAATGTAGTAAAAAGCAGCAAAAAGTGTTTGGTGGATGCAGATTAATGGACTCAGAAAAGCAATGTAAACACTTGAAATGTGGAATATTAGTAAATGTAAGCTGCAACAGTGAGAGTAGATGAAAGGCAGCGGGGGATATCAGCTGAAGGAGCCTGGAGGAAGAAGAGCTGCGCCTCCCACACACACACACTTATAAACCACCATGTCTTTCACACTGATCCCTCCAACCTCTCCGCTCTGCGACGTGGATATATCTCAGAGATTCTGCTCACATCGGGTAATTGTGTGCAACCGAGGACATTAACATTTATCTTACATTTTTTAACAATCCTCCCCCTCTTCATTTCACTGTAATGGTGTGCTGCAGGTTTGCAGGAACAGTGTGTACTGACAGGAGCAGTCTCACATTTAACTCAAAGGCCTCCACCAATCCCTGGCCGCCACAGAGTGCTGTTGCCTAGCAACCACGTAGTGTGATGCAGGGAGGTGTGCTGCTGAGGGCCGAGGTGGACAGCCTTGATCATATTCTCATCAGGAGCCTCAGCCTGCCAAAGGCCATATTCTCAGCAATGTGTTGGTAATAATGGCCGTGTTAGAGAGCGAAAACAGGAAGCAGCACAGACACAGTAATAGGGTCTCTACTGTAGCAGCCAGGAAATCACATTTAAAAGAAAAAAACCTGAGTTGGTATCTGTTTTTATTTCCCAAAATAGGCACATTTAATGAAAACTACAACAAAGCAAGAAACACAAATGGAAAAATGTGAGAGGAGAGAAATAAATAAAGAGACAATTCATGAAGATTTCCTTTGAAGTTATAGCTGTTGGATATATATATATATACTGTATATATACACATATATATATATATATAAACATATATATATATAAACATATATATATATATATATATATAATCCAACCTGGCAGTATTACTTCTTCATCTAAAATGGATGTAAAGACAACTTGGCTCCAGCTAGAATTTCTTCTTTTTAAGGTTCATTTGGTCTCCAGTTTCTGTCCGAACTCCTTGATGGTGTCCGTTGCCTTGTCCGCAGCTTTCCCTATGGCGACCTGCGTCTGTCTGCCAGCTTCTACAGCAGCTTCAGAGTCAGAGTGAAGCAGAGGAGAAATATTCAGGAAGCTAAACCACACATCAGAATTAGGCTAAGGTTTGCAGAATTTGATTAAGACTATCAAACTTTTTTAATAAACTCACATGCAAACTTGTGAGCATAACTACATATTTATGTGCATATAAAAAGCTCATCTCCAAAAAAATTAATATATTAGGTTATCATTCTATTCCTGCAACATTTTGTCTCTAAAATGAATTTGAACAGAGCTACATTTGAATGAATTTGTATTTCCATAGTGATGAAACGCACAGTGTTACACAACCAAATAGGTCACTTCAGTGTCTTATCCTACATCGACCATAATGTGGGATCAAAGTTCTTGTATCTTCTGACAGCTTGTACTGGACTCTAACTCATGCTCAGTGTAATATAACCATTATCACGCCATAAAGCTTCAGAGACAGGGCGTGATCACTTTACCTGTGCTGGCTGTTTCTTTGGAGGACTCTGCCACCTGCTGCACGGCCTCCTGAGCTGCTTGCACTGCAAACACATGACAGAGACTTACAGTGGTGGACCTCAGGAGGAAACAAACTCATACATTATTTACACTCCAAGTCATTTACAACTTAGAGACAACAAATCAAGGACATTTATTGGAATCATTGTAAAAGTAGCTATTTTTTAACCAAGAAAGGCAAACCCTTGATAAAAAATAGGCTTTGTTTCTGTCCACCAGACCTCACACTGGCCCAGTGTCATGTCACAGCTGTGGCTCTGTACCTGCAGTATCTGTGACTCCCTTGGTGGCCGAGTGGCTCGTGCCTTTCAGGCTCTCAAAGGACTTCTTGAACGAGGCCATGGCTCCGGTCTTTGTCCCTGCAGCCTCCTCACTTTGGTCTGAGCGGATAGCGGCAGCAGAGGCTGTTTAATACTCTCAGTTCGAGCCCGACACCCCCGAGCCTGCACGTTCCAGCCGGATTAACCCAAACAAAACCCCCCCAATAGAGGCCCGGCTAGACTGGCATCCCAACTATGGCAGAATCCATCCAAGGGCATGAGCCCGCTCAGCAGATTTTACACATCCTGTAATCAAACCCCCAGACAAGAGTGAGCAAAAAAGGGACACATGTGAGGACGGTGCATAATAGATCCTGATTTAGACCAACAGGCAGAAAAGAGAGGCTCAAAATCTAATGAGCGATCAATGCCAAAAGGGAGTTTCAACATTATCACACAACACTAACACGGTTTCTTTTTTACTTTTTATTTACAGAGGAATGTATGTCTGGCTTAACACATAAACCTTTATATTGACAAGTCCTGCAATTTAAAGCACGTATTGATATGACAACCATTATGATTTCAAGACATAATATATTGACTTTAACTTGTTAAAATCTTCAGTACACGCAAACACACGCACACACAAACATGTATACTCTGTCAATTTCTAACAGATTTACTGGAATGATTTCACAAGCAACTATAAAGATACAATTTAAAAAACTCTTACTTCAAAAAAGTTGAAAGAAATTTCCAAAGAAATGCAAAAAGAAAAGGAAAGAACCCACAAACAGGCATTGTCGACACTTAGGAGGATATTATTGTTTTTCATATCTGCTTGCAACCGGACATATTTAATATTTTCCACTCCCAATGTCTCATTGGAAGATGATGAACATCTATTGCACGTTTCTAAATACAGATACACACAAGTACAAAGTCACAAGCCCCGGCTCTGGTCTCATTTCATTGGGAGGGATTCAAGGAAATGAGACAGAGAGGACACATCCTACATCTCAATAAATACCTATACCCAACACATTACATTAATAACATGACATTTACAATATATAATAATAAAAGATTTGTCTTGAAGGAAGAACATTTTTCAATGGGAATGCTTGTGTTTTTGTGGTTTTTTGCAACAGGGGTATAATTGTAATAGTTTCAGCATTTGTCCTTTTTATTATTAGAAATATTATTGTGCTGCTGGTTTGTTGGTGGCTTGGACTGGTGCTTTTACGCCTCTGGCTCGTAGTCCTGGCTTCCCTGGGGAAAGAAGAACTGATTTTAAGAGACAGGCAGCAGGTTCAATTCAACATCAAGACTCTAATATATTAATTGAAATGGGTTTATAAACAATAACTACGACAGAGTGGTTATGGTCAGAGATAATCCCGCTCCACTAAAGGTAGTGATGTCTATCTCAGCTGTGTGCTCTCTCTCCGCCTGCAGAGGGCAGCACATCGCTGCACCAGCTGAAGGACGAGTCGTGAGCACATTACCAGCCTCCTTGTAACTCTGCACACGCCTCCTACAAGCACATGACCATAAAACACAGCCTCCAGGAATGTGTATTAGGTCATCTGATGAATTCACAAAACCAAAAGTGATGCTGAATGAGGCAGACAATTTTCTCCAAACCCCCCCTATGAGGGCTGGGCTCACTCTGCAGCACTCCGTATTCACAGCAATGCAGGCAGGGAGACCCTGACATTACCCACAATGCACTGAGGCAGTCAGCGTCATCACCACACCCATTCAGACAGAGCTCGTACATTTCTGGTGTGGAGGGTGGGGGAGGGGAAAGCGATGCGGAGGAGAGGAGAGAGATGGAGCAGGGACACCAGCTACTGCCTCTAAGAAATTCACTTTTCATTTGTATCTCAGAGAATATCCAGGTTTCATTCTTTAACTGATGAATGCAATAATCCACTGAGGGAACTGAACATCTGACATAATGCACTGAATACATTGAAAACTAATTCAATATGATGCAAAATCTCATAAAATCTTCCGATGTCTGAATATTATAATATTCACTGAGAATATAACCGTTTTAAGGCTAAAAACAAGACAATTTCAGTCTATTTTAATGATAAAATATACAATTGAAGTCATATTTAATATAAGAACATAATGTTCACTGTGTGATCATTGTATTTACTCTTAAATCTGTATTAAAAGCAAATGGTTTTACACAGTTTGTCAAATGACATCTAAATTCCAAAAATAACCAACACACACACACACACACACACACACACACACACACACACACACACACACACACACACACACACACACACACACACACACACACACACACACACACACACACACACACACACACACACACACACACACACACACACACACACACACACACACACACACACACACACACACACACACACACACACACACACACACACACACACACACACACACACACACACACACACACACACACAGTTCAGTGTAGGTAGGTGGTGCCATATTCTCTGGACTCGCTATGTGGCACTGGCTTGTTTTTATTTCCAGGGAAAGAAGAATGACCTCATGGTGAGCTGTAGTATTTGTGTGGGACACAAGTGGGGTGGGGGGGCAAGTGTGAAGTGCTTTTGAAATGTAATACAGCTGGAATGTGTAACCAAGCAGGAGTGGTAAACACAGATCTACTATGGCTTTCAGGTTGGACATATAATAAAGCTAT